AAACCATTTGAAGAACAAACACCAATCTTTGTTTGAAGAGTGGAAAAGTAATGATGATCCATCCATTAAAAGTACAAATCAACCGAAAATAAACAGTGTCTTTAGTTCTGGTGGTGAAAAATGTAAGTATGTTCGTATTTTAAAAGGCATTCTGCTTTCAGAAGGATTAGGAGAGAATAATAAAGACGAAAGCACAGATCTTATGTTTATGCTAATGAAATATTCTATCATAGCTGAAATAAATTTTGATGTGGGAGAATTCCACATGTACAGATGCATAGTATTTCGCTTTTGTTTAATGAATGCATATTGAACACGGTATTTTATCAATTTAGATGCGACAAATAACAAATGACAAAACAATTCACCAACAGTATTATTCAAAATCTCATAATAAATATGGGTCTTTCATTATTAATTGTTGATCATACATCATTCAACGATTTCATGAATGATGTAGATTCGAAATATAAGCCTATTCATAGGCGTGACCTTACACGCTCGTTTTTACCTGCTTACACAAAAAATGTACATCAAAATTACAAGAAATATGTGCTGAAGCAAAGCACGACAGTCTTACACTTGATATTTGGTGTGATCGTCGTATGCGGTCTTATTTAGGTGTTACTCTACACACTATTATTGATGATAAATATAAAACATTTTTACTCTCATTTAAACGACTTGAAGGAAAACATACATCTGATAAACTTGCAGCAGAATTCGATTGAATAATTCAACTTTATAATTTAAAAGACAAAATCGTTCGATTAATAACTGATAATGCAAGCAATAATCTTGCTGCTTTCGATAACATTATTTTACCTGGATTTGATGATTACTTCGATGGAATAATAGATGATTCATCTGAATCTGAATCTAAATCTAAATCTAATGATAAAGAAACCGATGATTATGCACCTGCAATAGGTGAATAAAAACAATTACAAACACATGAAGCAGATGATTCAATTTATCAAACTACATTAGATTCAGCAACTGAAGAAGAATTTCTACGTTTACCATGTTTCTGTCATTGTCTTCAGTTAGTGGTCAATGATGGAATAAAAGCTAGTGCTGCTGCAGTATCTTCTCTTCAAAAAGTGGCAAGCTTAGCTAAACTTTCTCATTCTAGTACAGTATCTTCTGAACGATTAGAAAAATTTAATTATACTATTCCAAGAGCGAATTGTACAAGATGGAATAGCCAATTTCAAACAGTAAAAAAGGTAGTTGATATTCCATCGTCAATACTTAATTCAATTTTAAGTGATTTAAAGAAGAATGATCTTATTCTTAACAGCAAAGACAGAAAAGTTTTAGAAGAATTTGTATCTTTGTTTGAGTTATTTAATGAAGCTACTTTGTTAACTCAAGGTGAATCTTATGCAACTATTTGTCTTGTTGCTCCTACTGTTCTTGGTATATACTGTAAAAAAAACCGTATAATAATAAACGAAAAAAGTGTTTATGAAAGTGCAACGTGTAGCAAACCCTTTTCAACCGTTTATCAACGAGTCATAAACCCTGTTATAAACCCTCTAAAAAGTGTTTAATACGCAGTTTATTATTGTTAAATATGCTTTCTGGAAGGTTTATTGAAGGCTTGATTAGATTCATAAATGCTTAAAGGGATTGCGACACGTTGCACTTTCATAAACCCCTGAAAAGGGTTGATAATTCACATAAACGTTCTCATATAACCTTCGAAACTCGGTCTAAAAAGGGTTTATTAAAATACTATACCCATGCGCCTCTCTCGGAAACGCTATCGAAAAGCGTTTATGGGCATCATGAATGGTCGCCAGCGTTTGTGAGATGGTACATGAAACCGATTATGGACCTCATCAACCGCCCCAAGGGTTTATGATAAGGTTTATGAAGGCGATCATGGACCCCATAAACTGCCTCAAGGGTTTATCAGAAGGTTTATGAAGGCGATTGTGGACCTCCAGTATCGTTTTCAGTGAGAATATTAGGATAAATAGAGTGATTCAAGAGTACAATGAACTACTTCCAGGAGTCGGAGAATAACTGAATACTTTGTTTTTTCACCTTGGTTGATGATTGACAAATGTCTACGAAGAGAGATATGCTGAATAGTTTGTAGTTTTTATAATAATATGTATCTAACACTCGCTATCTATGGCATTTTATAATAATTAACAAGAGGATAGTAGGTTCCCTGAGACTGGACGAAACCATGTCCGTTATTTTATCTACATTTTCAGCTTCATATTTGTCGAAACTCTTACTCGATCTTGTCTTAGAATCCAATACTCACTCAGTGAGAAACGAGCGAAACTAGAAAACTCGAAAATAATTCGATCGAGAATCAGAATCTAGCATGATCACGGAAGATAAAAATCAAGATGATTAAAATGAATCGTAGGGATATCTTTCTAGCAGCGACTAATCAATACAAACAAGATAGCTAAATTAACATAAAATTGAGGAGTGAGTAACATGGACGAATGATTTTATTTGGTTGTTTCAGATGAATTCTCTGTGATGTCACACGAAAACTTTTACTCACTTCAATTGACGTTGGTCACTTGCAATATTCTCACATAAGATATTAAGCAAATAGCATTTGTAGTTCAGCACATTCTGTATTTAATTTCAAGACTTTGTTTGACGAAACCTAAACATAAAAGCGTGAGTTATTAATAGATGACGATTTTCTCTTCAAAAAACTCTGATTATATTGAGAACTTGCTAGAAATCAGTACATTGCAGCTACCAATTGATAACAATCGCTGACATGTATTGTGAAACGCATCTGAAAGTTCGAAGTAACTGTTACTCACCCATATGCGAAACCTTTCTATTGAATCCATGATCGTAATTCCATTAATTGATAAAAGAGATCAAATCCAAAGACCTAAAAGAAAAATTATTAAAAAGTGAGCAAGAATCAAATATTAATAGCATATTATAAAGCACTCAAGTTATCAAGTATCTCGTCTGAATATATAAAGGGTGTGCGCCTTCATCGATACTTAAATATTACACATGAAATGCTATGTTCAACTACATAATGCTACTACTCATTCGCTGGGAAACTTTAGTAGAAACACTCCCCTCACTAATACGACGGCTACTTATCATCAAAAAAAAATACACAGAACCCATTCGATTCATTGTTTCTTTCTCTCCTTCGCCCCGATCAATGCCTTGCATAAAAAGATAACGTCAGCGCCTTACGAAATAGCTTATGGCTTCTCTAAAAACAGCCAACTCAATTAGAAAAAAAATATAATCATCTTATTCTGGTCGAAAACAAATCGTATCATTCTGTAGTCATCAACTGTAAAATACAACTAGTCGGTCAAATTATACACAATTTTGTTTACTAATCTATTTGTACCAAACGGAAAAAAAACTCCACCACCTTAAAGAAACACGAGCCTGCCTATACTTTTCTTAGGAACCAAGCACAGTCTTATAAAAGAACTGACACTTCACCTTCAGCTGATTAGAGAAACCGCTGATATCTACCGATTAATTGTGAATATAGATGTTTTCGTGATGATTTACAAAGTTCACCTTCTTTAAATCTATAGATAAAATTAATATATGAAGGAATCTTTTCACATAGGAACACAACCTTCCACTTATTTTTTATAGGAATGAAACAAGATGAAAGGAAACATCATACTTAACTTCTAATGGGTCGGATAAATCTTTGACTTGAAGGAATTCATTGGTAATGAGCACACATTTCATAACAGTTTCCATGCGTTCGCTTCTTTATCTAAATAAATAGAATGATTGAATGAAAATAAAACATTTAATGTACAAAAAAATCTTCACATAATTCTCTGGATATGTGAAGAACAAAAATAAAATGAATAATGATACGTAACTTTAAGTGGGCCGGTTAAACCATTGATGTAGACTAATTGATTGAGAATAAGCCCATGTTCTTAACATTTTCTAAAGTTCCTTGTGTTTATCTAGAAAGATAAAACGATTATAAAAAAGGAGATCTTTTCAAATACGACAGGGTCATTGAAATGATTTTCTGAATATGTAAAATTCATACCTAGCTTTCATTCGATTGTGAAAAAAATTGACGCGAAGTGGTCGATTCAAAATGCGCACCTGCTCGCACAAGTTCTGAGAACTACTCGTGTTTACCTAGATAAATAGAATGATTGAATGGAAATATATCACTTCACCAAGAAAAAAATCGTTCCAATAGTTTACTCGATATGGCACAACAGGATGAAGAAAAAAAATGTAATTTACTTTGCAGTGGATTGTTGAAACGATAGAGATGGACCAATTTATTGAGAACCAGCAGTTGTTCGCAGTCCTTTTGCAAGTTTTTCATTTTTACCTAGATAAAGAAAACGATTATGTAAAACCAAATATTTTTGTATAGAAAATAATCGGTCGGCTAATTTTCTCGACATACAAGAAATGAAATCGAGTGAACCATCATACTTAACTTCCATTTGACTGTTGAAACCATTGATATGGAGCTATTGATTGAGAATAAGCACTTCTTTGCATCACTGAGCAAAGATACACTTGTTTACCTACATAAATCGAAAGATTAAATAAAGAAAAACTGTTACATCTGAGAAAAGAATATAGTTCAAAAGATTATATCAATATGAAAGAAACAAAAACAAACGCTACGTTGCACTTAACTTCGAGAAAATTGATGAAGCCATCGACGTGGAGCCATTGATATTGAATGAGCACGTGTTCTTAGAAGCTGTGAAACTTACACTTATTTCTTTAGATAAACAAAATGACTAAATGAAGAAGAATTGTTCTACACAATTCTTCGCACACGTTTTTCCATATAAAAATTAAAATAAAACACCCAATTTTACTTTCATACACTAGAAGCTAACATTGAAGTGAAGCATTTCGTTGAGAACAACTAGCTGTTCATTCTAGTTTCCAAAGTTTGCTTCTATATCTATATGAAAAAAGCAATGGCATGCGAATGTATTTTCATATTTAGAAAAAATATTTTGGCTAGCTTTCTATTACCTAAAAAAAAGACATCAATTAAAAAAGATTCTCACTTTTGACTGGATTGATGGAGCAACGGATGTGAAGCAATTGATTCATAATGAGCATGTGTATGGTTTAGTTTTCAAAGTTTTGTTCGTTTACTTTCATGGAAAAATAATATAGGGAAAATGAACTTTTTCATAAACAGAAAAATGTTTTGCATAATTTGTCCGATTCTTAAAAGAAAACAAATCAAGCATGATGGCTAAATTTCATATGGTTGAAGAAAACATTGATGTGAGCTATTTGGTTGAAAATGAACATTTGTTTCTACCACTTTGCACAGGTACACTTTTTATATCTAGAAGAAAAACATGATTATATGAAGATGAATCGCTTCGTCTATCGAAAAATCGCTCAGATAAATTTTCTCGATATGAAACAAACGAAAACAAAACAAATGTCATACTTAACTTTCAGAAAGTCGATGAAACCAGCGATGTATATCAATTAATTGTCACTAAGCACGTTGTCGTAGAAATTGCGCAAGTTCTGCTTGCTTTTCTAGATAAAGAAAGTGATTAAATGAAGAAGAAACGTTTCCTGTAGAAAAAACATGTCAGATAACTTTTCAATATGTTAAAGTGAAATCGAATAAAACATCATACTTAACTATCACCAGCTTGAAGCAAACATTGACATGACGCATTTCGTAGAGAACGACTAGCTGTTCGTTCTAGTTTCCGAAGGTTTGCTTGTGTATGTTAAAGAATAAGATGATCATATGAAGATGATTCACTTTATCTGGAAAAGAAAATCATTTGGTTAATATTCTCGATATGAAAGACTTAAAGTCGAATGAAAAATCATACTCACTTTTATGCCGTTCTTGAAGTCATTGATATAGAGCTATTGATTGAGAATGAGCACGTGTTCGTATCATTTCTGAAATATTTTATGTTTATATACATAAAGAAAACGAAAACACGGAAATAATGTTTTCTTTAATATATAGAATAGAATCGATAGGATAACTTTATGCAGTTGTTAGATAAGAAATCATTTGATAAAGTATATTTTATTTTTCAGTGGACCGTAAAACAATATACATAGAGAAATTTATAGATAATGAACACGAGTGTTTATTCCATATTAAATGTTTACTTCACTTATATGAGTCAATAGAAGCATTCGATGAACATGTATCTTTCTATATAGAAATGAATCTTTCGGAACATTTTCTCCAGTCGTAAAAAGTTATACAAAATGAAATATTTCGCATTTAGATCATATAAAAAGGTATGGCTTCACTGAAAAGATACATATAGAAAAAAATTATGGGAATCATGTAAAACATTTTGGCCGATTAGGGAAAATAAAGAAAAGTTTTAAGACAAAATCATGTGTTGATAGAGAAGGAACGATATTGATAATTCTCGTGACATTAACAAAGTGAAGACAAAATATTAACAATAGCGATTTAATTGAATATAATTGAGATTAGGGTGCGCGCAATGGGGCTGGTCGAAAAAGAGAACTTGCTCATGTCTATTCTGGAAGTTGTTTCTTTTATCCAAAC